AACCCTAAACTTAAACCCAAACCCTGAGCCCCAAACCCTGAACCCCAAACCCTAAACCCGAGACCCCAAACCACCGCATCAACGACTCTGTACATGCTCACGGATCAAGTGACTCGTAACCCTCGACCCTAAACTCTAAACCCTAAACCCTAGCCCTCAGACGGACACCCTTATTGATCACTTATGGTAACCCTAAACCCTAAACCCTAAACCCTAAACCCTAAACCCTAAACCCTAACCCTCAGACGGACACCCCTATGGTAACCCTCAGCCCTAAACCCTAAACCCAAACTCTCAGACGGACACCCTTATGGTAACCTTAAAACCCTCAACCCTAAACCCTTTCAAGTCTCCCTTATACTGGGGTCCCTACCCATAGGCCCTAAAAGTAGTTCCTTTTTGGGGTTCATATATAGAATCCCATAAGGTAATCCCCAAAAAGGAACTACTATGGGGCCTATGGGTAGCCCCTAAATAATAAGGGTACCCTTTTTCCTACTCCTTTGTTGTATTAAGAGAGCCCAAAAAGAAAAAGGGCAAAAGGGTACTGCAGGACATTTTCAGGTGGGTAGTTACCGTTATAGGAGCCTTATAGAAGGTACTACTGGGGAACCTGGTATAGAAACCTGAAGACGCCCAGGGATGAAGTGTCTCAATCCTTCGATGGGCAAGAAAAGCCCTGGCACCGCTGCTTTCGATCCGCCTCTTGGCTCTTTCAGGTTTGGGTTTAGGGTTTAGGCTTGCAGGGCTTGGGGGGCTTTTCAGCCCCTGATGCAAGCACGAGACTTGGTGCTCCCCTGCTAAAGCCCTGAACTCCATTCCCTGACCCCGAAACCCTGAAACCTCGAACCCTAAAACGTTCAACCTTGCGCGGTGTAAAGTGGGCATGACGACTCGAACTCATACTACATGTGGCGGTCATGCCATTCTCTGACAACGCTCCACAAACACGCACACACATACATACATACATACATACATACATACATACATACATACATACATACATACATACATACATAGTACGTACGAACATACGCAGACAACATTCGCAGTTGAACACTCAAAAAAACGAGCGTAGATGCTTAGGGGTCAGATGATTCACGTGGCCCTGATTCCTAAACCCCTAACCAACTCAGGGTTTAGGACCTATAAGAGCTGTCTAACAAAAACGAAAAGGCTCATGAATTTCATTTCGCTCACAAGAGCGCTGAGACCTCGAAACGACGCGTGAAAGAAAACTTAGGGCCAGGGTCTAGGCCTTCTCCTTGGAACCACAAACCAATCCAGCAACAACCGGCACCTGAACCCGTAAGCGGCTTGGGGTTTAGGATTTAGGGTGAAACCTTCAGAACCTAAACCTTAAAACCTCAGACAAGACAAGCCGCATTGCCAGCCCGAGTCCCAAGCCCCATGACCCTGAACCCTAAACCCTAAACCCAAACCGGTTTAGGTTTAGGGTTTAGGACCCTGAATCCTGATCCTCAAAGACCGTAAGCCATAATGTAGGAGCCTCAATAATTAGAATAGGGCTTTGGGGTCCTTTATAGAAGATTATAATAAGGAACCCCCAAAATAGTATGGGTAATTATATAGGCTTCTATAGTATACCCAGACCTCCCAAAATCCATTGATCAAGGAGTATACCCTAAATCAATATAGGATCCCTGATATGATTTAAGGTATCTCCCTTACTTAAGGATTTTTGGAAGGTCTGGGTAGCCTTGAATCAACTTGAAACCAAAAACAATGAACACGTGCGAAGAAGACCTATACAACCACACACAGACCCACAAATCCATATCAAGAGCACTATGTGAACAACCTCGAGATCTCCATGCAAGACCTTTCAGACTCATTTGAAGGCTTGGAATTCTGCAGGACACTACCTTAAAAACCTACGGAAGACCTCCCAAGAGAAACAACCATCCATAAGATACAAGCTTATAGACTATAAAACCCAAATACAACCTTTTACAGCCTTATGAAAACCCTCTGAGCCAACCCTGAACCCTAAACCCTAACCCCAAAGCCCTAAACCCTAGGCCCTAACCCCAAACCCTAAACCCTAAACCCTAAACCCTAAACCCAAACCCTAAACCCTAAACCCTAAACCCTAAACCCTAAACCCTATACCTTAATTAAACCCTAATCTCTAAAGCCTAAACCCTAAACCTTAATTAAACCCTAATCTCTAAAGCCTAACCCCTAAAGCCTAAACCCCAAAGCTACTCAAGTGGGGACGAATGTTGCCGGTATCGCTGACTCCAATGGCTTGGATCCTAGCTGTGATGCTCCTTGTGATCCTGCGGATGGTCGTCTACAAGCTCTCCGTGTTGCACGAGGAGATGGACGTCAAGTACCAGAGCATGCTGGGTGTGAAGGTGATGTGTGCGATGATGAATGTCCAGAACATGAGAGTATTGGAAGCGATGCGGATAACGTTCGCTCTGTGCCTACGTGTGGTTTCGGGGTGTCTTCAAGCACTGCCAGTTCGTCCTTGGTCGATGGTGAGGGTGTGTCGTCTACCTCACTTGAACCTTTGTCTAATGTTGAGAATGTACAGCTTGCAGACCGCGCTAGATCACGCAGCCCAAGAAGGGTGTACACACTCTACAAAGAGAGTTGAGGTGTTTCACAGTTGAAGGCCTACATGGCCAGTGCCTGCTTGAAGAAGGGGGCGTATTTCAGCTTTAAAAAAACCCCAAAGCCTAAACCCTAAAGCCTAAACCCTAAACCCTAAACCCTAAACCCGAAACCCTAAACCCTAAACCCCAAAGCCTAAACCCTAAAGCCTAAACCCTATACCCTACACGCTGAGCCCAAGGCCCGATTAATATAGGGGCCTTACTAATTAGAATTTTGGTTTTGGGGCCCAGTATACTATAATAACAGTAAGGAAACCCTAAACCCTAAACCCTAAAGCCTAAACCCTAAACCCTAAACCCTAAACCCTAAAGCCTAAACCCTAAAGCCTAAACCCTAAACCCAAAATATTACTCGTAGTTATTTAGGCCCGATTCGCCCCGAGCCGAGGTCCTGGTCCGCGCGGCCAACCTGCTCCTCATCATCGGAACCCTAAGCCCTAAGCCTAAGGGTCTAGAAGTCCCTGAAAAGGTAGGTTATTTGGGGTATCATCGGAACCCTAAGCCCTAAGGCCATGATTTAGGGTTTAGGGGTTTGGGGCTTAGGGGTGTAGGGTTTAGGGGTGTAGGGTTTAGGGGTGTAGGCTTTGGGATTTAGGGGTGTAGAGTTTAGGGTTTAGGGTTACCTAAGCCCCACCTGGACCCCAAAAAACCTACGTTTTTAGGGTTCCTTATTATGACTTCTTTATATAAGTCCTTGAAAAGCTAGGTTATTTGGGGTATCATCGGAAGCCCATGGTTTAGGGATTTAGGGTTTAGGGGTGTAGGGCTTAGGGTTTAGGGTTAGGGGTGTAGGGTTTAGGACTTGGGGTTTAGGACTTTGGGTTTAGGGTTTAGGGATTCACTATTTCGGGTTTTTGGGTGCAGCGTCCTAAAAGGGCTACCGCTTTTTTTTCTCAGAGATCCTGAGTTCAGGTACACGAGTTGCCCTAGGGTTCTGGGTTTCTTAAAAAACCATCAATCCTCTACACCCTAAGCCCTTGTCTAAGACCCTAAACCCTAAACTCTAAAACGCTAAATCCCTAAACCCTAAGCCCGTGTCTAAAAACCCTGAACCCTGAGCCCTGAACCAAGCCCGACACCCCTAAACCCTAAACCCTAAACCCTAAACCCTGAACGGAGCTGAGGGCTGAAGCTTCGGGCTTAGGGTTTAGAGTTATAGGGTTTAGGGTTTAGGGTTTAGGGTTTAGAGTTCTAGGGTTTGGGGGTTTAGGGCTTTGGGTTTAGAGCTTTGAAAGGGTTTAGGGCTTTGGGTTTAGAGCTTTAAAAGGGTTTAGGGTTTTAGGGTTTAGGGTTTTAAAAGGGTTTAGGGTTTTAGGGTTTAGGGTTTTAGGGTTTAGGGTTTTAGGGTTTAGGATAATAGTTGAACTTCAGAATCCTATCGGTACTAAACCCTAGGCCCCGAACCCTCAACTCTGAACTCTAAGCCCTGAAACCCTAAAACTCTAAACCCAAAGCCCTAAACCCTAAACCCTAAAACCCTAAACCCAAAGCCCTAAACCCTTTCAATACTCTAGACCCAAAGCCCTAAACCTTGAAACGCTATAACTCTAAACCCTAAGCACAGCATCAGCCCTCAGCTCCGAATCAACCCCCAACCCAGAACACCCTAAACCCGAAGCCCTAAACCCTGAACCCTAAACCCTAAACCCCACCCCAAACCCAGAACACCCTAAACCCTAAACCCTAAACCCTAAACCCTAAACCCTAAACCCTCCCCCCAAAAAAGAACGAAACCCCCATGGTTTGGCGGCTTAGGGATTAAAAGGGGTGTCGGTGTCGGGCCTAGGTTCAGGGTTTGGGGTTTTAGACAAGGGCTCAGGGTTTAGGGTTTAGGGCTTAGGGTTTTAGACAAGGGTTTGGGGTTTAGGGTTTTAGGGTTTAGGGTTTAGGGTTTAGGGTTTAGGAAGCACACCCAGCCCCAAAAAAAAATCCTTGATGGACTT